TCCCTTTCCCTTTCCCTTTCCCTTTCCCTTTCCCTTTCCCTTTCCCTTTCCCTTTCCCTTTCCCTTTCCCTCAGGTCTCTCAGTGTTGCCTGTTAGCAGCAATAAGCATAGGCTGATAGTGTTATGATTCATACCCACATCACAGCTATTTAATCAAATAACTGTCTTTCCTTAAAGAAGCATTGAACCTTATAACATTTACAGCTGTTTATGTTATTTTGTATAATGCAATAAATGTAAATCTAGCACTAACAGCTACTGGTTTCCTTTATAATGCAACAACACTAATAATGGTAGAGCACTTTTCTCATTATTATATATGACAGTTGTCAAATCCAAGAATATTCTTCATGTAAGAAGAGTTGCCTCAGACTATGACACATTAGTGATTTCTTAGAGTAGCACACTTTTGTCGGACACAGAAACCTCTGAGCATGTTGTCTGATCAACAATGTTTTCTTTTAAACCCTTCAGGAAAAGAACTGCTTCTTCTTGTTTTCAGTGTGCTAATAAAGTACCTTTCCAAAAACCTTTTCCCTAGACTTGGAATTCCCTTCGATTCAGCCTAACAATGTTTCTTTTTTTTTTTCCTGCCTGTGTCCACAGCCCATTTGATGTTGAAGACTTGACCCCCTCTGCAGGAAACATGAGCAAGGCATCTGCCCTCCAAAGAAGAATGTCCATGTACAGCCAAGGCACTCCGGAGACGCCAACCTTCAAGGAGCACTCGTTCTTTGTAAGCTCTCCTCGGCTCGGTGGTTTTGTGATGGGAAAGCCTAGCACTGTTCAAACACAGCAAACACTTCGTTGCTTTACATGGATAAGCTTTGCTGCCTAGTTTCAGCAGGCTACCCTTACAAATACTTATAAAATAAGTGCATTGCTAGCTGTTAATTCTGAAAGAAGGTGACAACAATCCTGTACTCTTTAAAATATTGCCAATTACTGCATACTTACAGTTCTTGCTTCACTGCTGAAATATTTGCATAATCTTTATAAAACTTGTGTTCACTTTGTAGCAGCAGTTAAGCAACCATTACAGCAGCGTTAATTTTAATCTATCCCCTGGTAACATTTGCCCTTACAGTGAAGATGCACCCGAAGTAGTCATGCATTTTGCATGAATCAGATTCTGAAGGCTTCCTCAGGGCTGTGTTTTGAGCTGAACAGATCTGCACAGATTCAAATTTTACCTACAAGTGCTACATCTCATGCATGTCATTTAAGTATTTAGTGCACAGCATCCAATTAACTTGCCCTTCCTCACACCATTTTTGCCGTAATTGTGGAAGAAATGGCTGCATCCTCTGCAAGAGAGGCCAAAGCTCTCACTCTTAGATGCTCTGCAAGACACTTTCTTTGACAAGCTTCGGCGCAGTCGCTCTTTCAGTGACCTGCCATCGCTCAGGCTAAGCCCAAAAGCAGGCCTAGAGCTATACGTGAGTCCTGGTCTTCGTTTGGTGAAGGGAGTTTTTTGACCCCTATGCATGTGCTTTACCCTGCATGCTGCCTGTGGTGATCTCTGTTGCAACTTGGTTATTTTGCTGATGGATTAAAGAGAAGAGGATGACTGTAAGCACATGCTGCTTACATTAAAGCAAGGTTCCTCTTCCTTTCTACAAGGATTTTGATCAGAAGCCAGGTATCTGTGGGTGAAGAGCGGGATAGGAATACAAACCAACACGATATTTGTGAAAAATGGCCTGCTATGCTGATTGATGTTCTACATTGGCCCAGTAATGAGACATCCAGTGGTAAAAGAAAGACTCATTTGGGGATAGAAAAAAGGAATGAATCTTTGAATGCAGTTATGGTTAGGGAAAAAAGCTGCTAATAGTGCTGGGGAAAAAAAAAAGATGCACATTTTGGATACTTTAACCTTATGAACCTTGCCAATGTATGAATGCCTCCAGCTGTTTCCAGCAAATTGTCAGCAAAATAGCAGTTGCCTTTCATCTGTGCTGTACGTTTGCATGAGTGTGCCACACAGCAAAGGCTAAAAGTTACTTCAGAACCCAGCTGGGTGGAATTGCGGCTTTGATGTATTGTATTCTGGCTCCAGAGAGAGTCTGATATTTCCCATCCTTATTGCTTTTTCTCTATTTTAAAAATTGCCTGAAATAATACTTGTTCTACAACTGTAGGGTTGTTCAAACTTGGTAACAGGGAAGAAGTCAGCAGGCAGATTCTCATGCTGTCCAGTGTGCAGTCAGGGATTATACAACATAGTCTATTAAAGCCAAATCTGTTGGTCAGATCATCACAGTAGCTTGCGACTCCTGCTGGGAGTGCTCCCCACACATTGTTCAGGGATATGGTCATATATATCCAAGATAAGCTTCATCAGTTGGGGTCTCTGTAAACTCTTGTTCTTTTCTAGATGATCAGTGTCCTGGTAACACAGGACCCCACAAATTCTGCTGTTTCATTTCAGAAGGAAACTCATGCTGAACATGAGTTCTAACTCATGCTTGCAATTCTTAGAGCTATGCCATGCGTAGGAAATATTTGCAACAGAAACGAAACAGCATAGCCATCTAATCACTAAAATACTCTAATTATTACAGAAACTAATGGAGCAACCAGTTTTACATTTTAGGGATTGCTACTTCAGAAGTTAGAAAGTAATACCAGGGAAATTCATAATGGGTACAAAAATGCATACAAGGTAGCTTAAATACAACCCCATTAAAAGGATATATCCATCAGGAAATGAAACAGTAGAATGGAATTGTTGCTGAGTCCATCTGATAAGACATGCAGTTCTGGGATCTTTGTTCCTGGGATACACTTCCTAGAGCTCTTAGCTTACCCTGCTCTCAAAGAGATAATGAAAACAAGACTTCCCGTCCTTCTGGAGCAGGCAAAAACTTCCACTGAAATCCGGAGTTGTGCCACCTGAAAGCACAAGTTGCATTTGAAATGCATTTCCCATTTCTCAAGTCTTGAGCGTTTCTTTAATTTCTTCCTCTGCATTTTTCTTTCCCAGCCACAAACGATTTCCTTCTCTTTCTAGTGTTACACGGAAAACACGTTCTCTATTTTAACAAGTTTCTGCTGTCTTTTCAGACGAATCTGTCAGATGACGTCTTTGAAAATGGCACAGCAGCCACGGAGAAGCGGCCTCTTTCCTTCACTTTTGGCGACCTGCCTTACGAAGGCCGCTCGTCCCCCGCCAGCTCAGCAGAGTCCTCCTCTGCCCATGTCAGTTCCAGCCCCGACATCACCGTGACCCCCGCGCAGCACCCAGCTCTCAAGTCCTCCAAAAGCTCAAGCCTGGACTGTAGCAGCACTGACTCCTCCTGCAGAGACTCGGTCGCTGAACCCAAGGACCCCAAGTCCCAGGGAGAGGGAGCAGTGATTGAGAACAAGGCAGCTCCGAGGGCAGCTTCCGATTGCCAAAAGCCCTCCGCTGCCGAGAGCGACCGCGTCTTCATGGAGACAAGCGTCCCGGTGTCCCTGCTGCAGGACACGGATGAGGGCTCCGAGCTGAAGCCGGTGGAGCTGGATCCCTACGAGGGCAACATCACGAAGCAGCTGGTGAAAAGGCTGACGTCGGCAGAGGCCCCCCTGACCCCAGAGCGGCTGCTGTGCGAGGGATCCATAAGCGGAGAATCAGAGGGATATAAGTCTTACCTCGATGGAAGCATAGAGGAAGCCTTGCAAGGGCTGCTCTTAGCTCTTGAGCCACATAAAGAGCAGTATAAAGAGTTTCAGGACCTGGACCAAGAAGTGATGCATCTGGACGACATCCTAAAAGTGAGTATGTTTTCAGAAAATACTACCCTAAAGAAAATCTGAGGGGATAGGATCAAAGCAGAGATGTGGGGAACCAGTAAAATTCCTCAGTAGCAGTAGATCTGCTCCTGCCTGGAGCATCCTTTCACCATGTTGCTTTTTCCATTTTTATCTGCAATGTGCTTACTATAACCTTATACCTGAAGCAATGGATCTATCAAACTACTCGGCACCTGAGGGAAGCAGAAAAAGAAAGCAGAGAAAAGCAGAAAGCACAGAAAAGGAGAGTAATTCAATTCTGTCCGCAATCATTGTGAATCCATTGCTTGTGCCATGCAGGAGATGGCCATAGCCCACCCTCTGCCTTTAAAGCAGATGCCTATGACCACGTCTTTGGTGGGTGTACTTGGGTGCCACCACTGAACCCAGCTGAGCTGGGCAAGGCCACCCCAGCCAAGAATCAGGCCGTGTAGCCACAGAAGCTGCATTTTCTAAATTGCCAAAGTAATTTAGGAGCCCAAGGCTCACCAAAGGTTGCCTTTCCCACATCACCTGGTGTTTTCCAAGCCTTTTCCTTGATTCCCCATATTTTTTTAAATGTTAGACATCCTGTCATCGCACCAGGATGGACAGAGCATGTTTTTCAATTAGAAAGAAGGGGTTTGCATGTGTGTTGTTAATGTTTACTGACAACTGTGACTTATATTTGCCAGACATGTATTTGACAAGATCTCATGATGCACTGTTGTGCCCAGTATTATAATGTGAAATACTCATTTCAAATGCTTCATATTCATATGCATGTTGGTCTGCTAGTCATTTAAGCCTCCCTATTTAAACACACAGCTGAGAAAGAAAGAAGCATTTATCCTTCTGTATTACCGTTTTCTTTAACTCGGTTAATACCTTTGTTTCCTTTAGTGTTTGCAAGACAATTTATTTTGCTACATGAAGGAGTTTTTAACAGCCCCTGTTCCTTGCACTACATCCCAAGTTGGTTCAGGCAGCCTGAATCCAGTACTACTCTTTTAAAATTTCCTGGCTGCTCTGTATAAACAGATCGGTCCTCAATCTTGTGCAGGAATCTTGCCCCCATTGGCAAGATTCCCACACACTTTCTTGCATGAGTTTTATGCCTCTGGGTGGCTGATCAGTTAGCTTGCAGGCTCACAACGAGCACCTGCACAGGCTCCACTCAGCCAAAGGGGCTGAGTGGGAGTCCAGCTGTGGCTGAAGAAAGCTCTCCTGGCCATAGCAGACGGGAGGAGGAAACGGGAAGGCCCTGTACTGCGGGTTGCTTTTGCCTGCAGAAAGGAACAGCAGCTGCAATTAATCCTTAGTGCGAGGAGAGGAGGATGCCACCCCTGCCTGTGGCACGGGGATGTTGTGAAGTGTTTGATCAGTTAACGACTGTACAGCTATTTTAAGGCATAAAACATCACAAATGCTAACATATGAAGATTATAGATGTGCAAATGAATTAGGAACAAACCTCCATGCCTCCTTAAGGTCTAGAAGAGCTCGTGTCTGCCCTTGAGTCTGAACTTGGATGCCAAGTCGTTGCTTCCTACGAGCTGAGACAAAGTCCTGCCTCTTACCCAGGACTTGAAGGTTTGCTCTGGACCTGCACCTGTGGCTCCCGGCTGCTTTGATCCCACAACGCCAGAGGTGCAGAAGTCATTGCACAAACCATGGAGGTGACCCCTCGAGGAACTGATTTGGCATCCGATGCTGCAAGGGGACCCGAGTGCGGCTCTGTGGGCCAGGGCTGGCCACACGGGACCAAGGCCCTTGACCCTCCTCACAGCGAGAGCCTGTGTTGCCCCATTGCCGTGGGGCAACACGAGGGTTCCCCCTCACCAGCACTGCTCATTTCCAAGTTACCGTGTTGCTTCTTCCTCTTGCTGAGGAGTCTCCTTGCTGATGCATGATTGGCTTTTCTTTAATTATCCTGCAATCACATGGCTTCAAAGCCCCCAAAAGTTTGCACTTTTGGGGGGATCCCGTGCGCTAACCTCTAGGCATGGGATCCAGTGCAGTCCTGGCTAAGCTCCACTGGAGTTGCACCAGGACTAAACCTGAGTTAGTTATCTGCACTGGCTACATGCACCCAAGCTGCTGCACCTGTAACAGCAACTGTGCCACGAGCCTTCCCCTCTCAACTGCCAGGGCGCTCAGTTGCCACTGCTGCTTTTGGAGGCTGGTGAAAGCCGTGGCCCCTGGATTCAAGGGGGATTTCTCCTGTCTGTAAAACACACTGGATTTCACCTGTGAGGGTTTGGCAGGGGGAGGGAAGGGGCTGGGGGTTAAGAAGGGAAGGGTTTTACAGTTCACAGATAGTGATTGTGTATGCTATGAATATGAAGGTTTGAAATGAAATGCTCAATAAAATGAAATTTTGAAAATAAAATGAAGAGTTTGAAAGTTTTAAGCTTTTTCTTTTTTTTTTTTTTTCTCTCTCTCTTAGTAGTAGATAATATTTGGGGTTTTCATTGGTTCGTTCTGCCTTTGCAGTGCAAGCCAGCAGTAAACCGAAGCAGGTCCTCCAGTTTAAGTCTAACAGTTGAAAGTGCTTTAGAAAGCTTTGATTTCCTGAACACCTCTGACTTTGATGATGAGGATGGTGGTGGTGAGGAGGTTTGTAATGGTGGAGGAGGTGCAGACTCAGTATTTTCAGATACTGAGATTGAGAAGAATAGGTAAGTTCGTAGCAACTGCCAGCTGTGCTTAAGCAAAACTGATCTAGTAGCTCTTTGTCACTAACAGGGGATCCTGGTGCACACATTATTCAAGGAAGGCCAAATTAAATCCTGCAGGAGATTATAAGGCTAGAGGGTTTCCTGTGGCTGCTGCATACAAAATCTTCAGCTTCCAGGATATTTTTTCCTGTTCAAATGTGTACAATCTCTTCCCCCAAAAGAGAAGGGTAAATCAAATTAACCAGACATCAGTACTGGCAGAGCCTCTTCCTTGACATAGGTTTGGACCTGGCTTTCCTTGCTTTGGATGTAATTACTAATTCCTCTGTGGTTTTTCCCCCCCTCCCCTTGTCTTTTCTCTCTAGCCGAATGAGTCTTTGCAGTGGATTAAGCTTGTCAGTAACAATAACACAGGGCCAGATTTAAGCAGCATGGTGTAGGTTTCCTTTGGAATGTAAGAGTGATGACTGGTACTCTGTTCATGGCCCTGCGTGTTACGTGCCCTTTTTTTTTCCTCTTTGGGTCTGAGAACAACCCCACCACCCCCAAACCTGTTTTGCTGTGCTGTGGTCTGTCGCTGTCGGGGGAGCGGGAGACGCTGTGTTTCAATCATTAGATCCTAAGGGCAGGCTGAGGCCCCAGTGCAGCTCCAGCACCCTGAGCTTCCTCACAAGGGACCTCACTGCCCATCGTGGCCACTCTAAAAGCATTTCGAGTACAAACAAGCGGGCACCACTCGGTTCCCATCACCTCACGGCGTGTTCTCTTCCCTGATTAAGACTTGGTGGGAAGAGAAACTTGGAACATTGTGTGGCTCACTACTTGGAACTCAAAACTGCATTGGTTTGGGGATGCAAATTTAAGACGACACTTTAGCAAAAGTTTAGGTTAACCGGCAAAAAGAATTGTTAGTTACAAAATAACTTCGAGTTAACTGATATTTTTAAATTAAACTAGAAGAAAAAAAATCATTTTTCCCTGCAGTTCATCCCTAGACAGCACAGATTCCTGTTCCTTCCCCTTTCTGATGTGTGTGTGACTCAGTGAAAGGCCTGCAAGTGTTGGAACCTGGACTTGCAGCCAGACACACTTGCTCGCCAGGGAGCGAGCCTGGGCTTTGCACCTAGGCACAGGGAGGACCATTTTTATGAGACAAAGGTGGAAATAATGATTTAAAACACAGTGAGAATAGCTTTACGCTCTTACAGAAACTACTGGCAAATGAAGCTGTTCACATTGTGCCTAAAAGAGCATATGAAAACATCATGTCTCTCATTCCAGCAGTGGCTTTCCTTCCCTTTTACACTGTGCATTGAATTTGGCACCAGGAAAATAGATTTGTTCTTAACAGCTTAATGCTTGAGGGCACAAACTGTAACGCTGCTTAATCCAGGCCAATTTGGGAAACAATTTACCTACAAATGGAAGAAAACACCTTCACCACCAAGCAATAATAACTGCAGGTTGGAAAGACTTGCTGGTGAGGGCACTGCCTTGGCCAAGGCCATCAATCAGGGCACCACGGAAGACATTTGTCCCCTCAGTGCACACACGTGCTCTGCGCTTAGCTGGCGATCCCACTGCTCATTTGGGAGACGATGTATTCATTGGAAGGTCTCTGGCTTAGCAAGGGCTGTGTGGTTGCGGATCGCTGCTTTCAGCAGCTCTTCCTGTGCTTGCTGCTAGTCCCTGCGAGTGAGCGTGTGTTCTGTCTGCTGAGGCGGCGCTCGGCCCTTCACTGACCTCCCTCCCTTGGCAGTTACAGGCCAGAGCACCCCGAGGCCAGAGGCCACCTCAGCGAAGCTCTCACTGAAGACACGGGCGTTGGGACCAGCGTGGCAGGCAGTCCTCTTCCCCTGACCACGGGAAACGACAGCCTGGACATTACCATAGTTAAGCACCTGCAGTACTGCACGCAGCTCATTCAGGTACCCAGCTCGTTCTGCTCCTGCGGGCACCGGGGTGCCAGTGGCACAGGGTGCGAGCTGGCTGCGACGCCGGCCTCGCTCGCGGGAGGCGGCTGGGGGCACCACCGCGGAAACCTCCCCAAACGCTGCCCCAGTGACACCCCTCATCCCAACGCGCCAAAGGAAAAGCCTCTATCATTTCGGCCCACTCAGAACAGAGCAGACATGCAAACTACAGGCATTTCTGAGATGCCGCCTGGTAGGAAGGACGGGCAACTTGCCAGAACTGCTTCCCGCATGGATCAGCCACTGCCAAGCGTTAGAGGTTTCCCCTGGTTTCACCAGGGGATACTGAATGATGGCAGTTTCCCTGTTAGGGCAACTCATGTCTTCAGAGGTAAAATGGAAGCCCGGGGCTCCACTATTTACTCTAGCAGAGCCCTAGACAGTGATATTTAAAAGCGAAAGAGTATTCCTATGTATGAAGAAGAGGGGAATCTCCACTTCAAACTATCCATAAACAAACACAGTGGATGCATGACAGCCTCTCCGGGATGTCAAGATGGCCTGTCCACACTCGCATCTGACCAGCCCAACCTTTCAGAGCCTAAGCACAGCAAGTGTGATTCTAGATCTGTAGCCAGCAAAGGCATCGTGGGTTTCCTGCTGAATCAAAACATACCGCAGCTTCCTTATTACAGTTGGACTTTGCAGTGATAGATATAATTCCTGTTTATTTCCAAAGGTCCCACTTAAGCAATGCAAAGTGATCCTGATTTCAGTACCTTTAGTGCTCAGTTAGACACCGCTGCATCACAAGTATGAGAAGATGGCTTTGGCTTAAATAAATAAATATACAATAAATACACAGTCAGGAGAGACGAGGAGAGAGTCTGTCCCCCACACTGAGCTGATCTGATAGGAACAGAGCAGACGGCTGAAGGAAATGCAGGTCTCAGCGGTAGGAAACATTAGCCTGGGAAAAGCACCAAATTAATGAGGGCACCTGGGTAGTTGATCAGAGGTGAAACAGAGCAGAAAAAGAGTGATTTATAGTCTGCTCACTGGCAGAAATGTTCTGAAATGCCATGGCCGATATTATGCAAAACTCAAACAATATTTGTTGGCCTTAAGATTCATAAAGCTGAGCACATAAATCAGAAATAACTTATGCAAATGCCTACACTTGGATACTTAACTGACTGCAACTGGCTGAAGATACTAAAAATATATGCAGTAATGCTTATCAACTGGGACCATAAAATATCACAGAGACAAAAAAAAGTTTGAAGTAAAGGAGCTTCCAGTTGATGAATTTGCCATTACACTTTGTCAGGTGCCAGGGTTTTGGGAAGGATTTTTTTTCATCTTGAATTTTTCTAGTTCAGTAACTTTTTTTTTTCCCCCCTCTCTATTCCCACTTATTTTCATCAGCAAATTGTGCTCTCCAGTAAAACACCATTTGTCGCAAGAGACCTCCTGGATAAGCTATCAAGACAGATCCTGGTGATGGAGAACATTGCGGAGATCAGCGCTGAGCACTTGGGAAACCTTACCTCCCTCACGGATGGTAAGAGATGGGACAAGTTAGGGGCTTCGCTTTAACATGGACTGCTCTGGATATGTGCACGTGCTTCCATAGCCACTCTCCGTGACTACCCGTAGGAAAATGCACTGCGGCAAGAGTTGCCTCCCACTTGGGTACAGATGCTGCTGTAGTCACCGGAGCTGGTCAGTGGCCTTATTCTAGCCTGAGCACTGGCTCAGACTCCTTTTCTGGCTTTATCCAGAAATAAAAGAGGTAAAAAAGAAGGGAATATATGGATCCTTATCCTGCTTGACGTGCAGCAGATGGACAAAATAGCTGCAGAGGGGAGGGGATGCTCCCACTCTGAAAGAGCCTAGTCCTCTCTCCACCTCTCTTAGTGGGATCTGTTTTACAGCACCAGATGATAATACAGCTCTTTGAATGGTTTACCCAGAAGATTGTTTTCAGTCACTTCTATATAGAACTGTTTGTATGGCATTTGTTGCATGAATTTTCGTACCTTGGATGAGTTTAACATAGACTCAGTTACTCATCTATGTGAGCACCCTGGCAGGATAGGTAAACACACATTGGGTTTTTTTTTTTAAATGAAAATACAGAGGCAAAGTTGAGTGACTTACCCACACAAACAGCACTAGGACAAGGATCAGCTCCCCAGCCCCAGTCCTGTGTTCACACCATTTGCTGCATTCTCCCAGTGCTTCGTGGTATTTAAAGGAATGACACATCAGTGCCCTGAACTGGATCAAGAGCAAATTTTCTGCCATCCTACTGTGGCAAAAGGAAGCAACCCATTACAAACGTGGCTGTGAACACATGACCGTGCACTGTGAAATTAATGTCAGGGCAAACTACCAAACCAGCCTGCCCATCAGTGAGGTCAGCAGCCCTCCACACTAGAGATATTTTATCTTTAGGAACATAATGTTTTCAGCATGGCGCTCTCTCACCATTCATTTTGTCTTCTCCTCCAGCGATTCCAGAGTTTCACAAGAAGCTGTCACTACTGGCTTTCTGGACAAAATGTACTGGGCCTTCAGGAGTGTATCACACATCTGCAGACAAGATGATGAAGCAGCTAGATATCAATTTTGCCACCACTGTGAATGAAGAATGTCCAGGACTTGCAGAAACGGGTACCAAATGCTTTAAAAATATATTCACCTGTCATCAGAATAGAGACAAATTTGGTATTATTGTTTTCTAACAGACTTTACTCAACTCTGGTTGCTTTCTTCCAATCCCCTGGAGGTCTGTTTGGATGCAGCTCCACAATTCACCTGAAAATTAATGTAACAGCTCTTCAAACAATTTTGTCCCAAAATAATTATATTGGAATAGAATATGAGAGGTCAGCAGCAGAAAAAAAAAACATTTATGAACTATTCAGAAAGTAAATTCTGTGTCTAAGCAAGACTTCCCTAATTCAGTGGCATTGCTGAGGTGCAATTGGACTGTGTATGTGGATATGTGTTTAGGGATTCCCTATACCATGTGGTTAGGGAGGACACTGTATTGGATAAGAAGCTGCATTGGCCTTGCAAGATCTGGTTTCATTTCTCAGTGCAGCCCTGGAAAGAGCAGAGTCTAACTTGGGCCTCCCGTTGCCTGTAAACTGACAGAAGTCAGTCCTTATCCCTGGGGATGAGCTGGACAGAGGGAAACTAACTGTGCCCATAGCGGTGATTAGAAATGTTGGGAGGTACCTGGCTTTGAAAATACAGTTCTTCCTTTAGGATTTGAAGTGCAGCGTGGGATTTAGCCAGCAGCTTTTGTTCTGATACGCTCTTTTGTCCGCTGCTTGCAGTCTTCAGAATTCTGGTGTCTCAGATCCTGGACCGAACAGAGCCCGTCCTCTACTCCAGTATGTCCTCAGAAATCATAACAGTCTTTCAGTATTACAACTACTTTGCCAGCCACAGTGTTAATGACCTTGGAAGCTATCTGCTGCAGCTTGCAAAAGAAGGTAGGATAAATACATTTTGGAAACTAAAGGGGAAGTATATTCTGAGTCTTTCTGAGGTCAGAATAAAACAGTTTGGCCCTTAAGCTTGATTTTTTAAAAGAAAGTGGAAAAGAAGGCAAACAATTGCAGTAGATGCTACATATAGCTGCACATATTAAAGAAAAAGAGCTGATGCACTCACATCCTCAGCAATTTCTACTTCTGTATTAGAATGGGAAAGATCTATGCTGAAAGAGTTGCTTTTTATTAAATGGCTGATGCTGCTGGGCTGGGCTCCAGATCCAGGGAGGTTTCTGTGCTCACAGCTTTGATGGAGTTCCAGTCTTTCATCATCTTCTATGCACAGAGCTTCTGAAGCGCGGAGCTCCTGTCAGGAGGTGAAGCATCACAGCACTGTGGGGCTTGGCAGGTTCTGGCCCTGAGATCTAAAGAGGGAAGCAGACTTTCCATGCAGCACGCTCAGCTTTTATTCCTGGGAAGCAAATTTGTATTCTTTTCCAATTGAGAAAGTCTGAGGAACTTTGCCTAGTTTCCACTTTGGGCATGCTGGCGGGCTCTTACTCAAAAGCCTGGAAAGGAAAAGGCATTTCAGTTCACTTCTGAAAAACATAAGCCCTGATTCTTGGTGGGGGGCATCAACCTGCTTAGAAAAAAAGGTATCACAAAGATGCTTTCGAAGTCACTGCCTCAGCTAGAGCTCTGGTTTCACTTGCTGAGGGGGGAACTTCCCATTTTCCACCAGAGTCGGAGCAATGAGCAGGCACTCAGCCATCTCTGGGTGAACCCGAGCATCCCTTCCAGCTCATCTGCTCATCTCCTCCTCTTTAGGAAAGGTATCTGAGAAACTCAGCCCAGCTTAGAAGCAGAGAGCCCCATATAGGCACATCACAGTGCTGACAATTGCCAAGTTAAGGGGTTTTCGTCTGTCCTTTCTGAGGGTAGTTAAAAAAAAAAAAAAAAAAAAAAAAAAAAGAGGATTGCTAATGGGGAGGTGCTGGGAAGATAAATCAAGTAACAAGAACCTTTCTGCCTTTTGCACTTCCAGCCTCTGTGGTTCAGATGCTACAGTCAGTGAAAGATGGGAAACTGCAGCAGAACATGCCTAAGATAAACTCTAATAACCTTCCACCACAACAAGAAGTATTGAGAGCGCTGGCTTTGCTTCTGACGGAGAATAAAAATGAAGTCAGTGAGACTGTGGCATCGCTTCTGACAGCTACTGCAGAAAACAGGCACTTCAGGGAGAAGGTAAGGGGCAGAAATTCACCTATCCCCTACTCAGACATTATAAATTTCTTCATCTTTCAAATGTCTACATGTAAATTTTCTCCAGATTTAAACTGATCCAGAGGATGTTCCTATCTATTTTTTTCTGTAAATATGTAGATCTGTTTCTATCTGCCGTTATACTACGGAGCTATTAATCAAAACTGTGCAAACAGGTAGCAAGCCCTGTCCCTTCCAGCTGTCTTGCACATTTTAGCAATTTGGATGGGCACTCTCAGACTTAGCCTCTAAGTAACATTCCCCAACATCATCACTGTGCAAAGACATCAATTTGAGAGGTTATTCCAAAGAAGGCTGATATTCATGGGCTCTCCCACCATTTTGGGAAGGGTGGAACTGCCTTGAGTGAACCAGCATCAGTTCTGATAGCTTTTGTGAAACCAAATAATTCCAGTCTAAGATCTATCACTGATACAGAAGGTAACAAGCAGGGCCAGATTAAACAGAAAACAGAAGAGGAAGAAATTATGGATTGACTTCTCTCTCTTTCATGGCAGACCTTTCCCTAGATCTTCAGTTCTTGCACCCTCCTTGTTCCCAGTCAGGATAGAGTGAAAGAACAAGAAGGTGGAAGGAGACAAGAGTGATAGAATGGGAAGAATAAGAGGCAGTTCATTCTTTCCTGCTCTTCTCTACCAATTTAGCCCCCTCTTTCTTTGCCCACCCGCTTCATTTTCCATTTTTGCGGTCTCTTGGTATCTCAAACCACCCTCTCACCCTTCCAGCTTCATGGAGGCAGCATTTCAGGGAAAATACAGCCTTCTTCTGGATTGTACACTCAGACAACATCTGGTTCCCTGTCTGAAGAAACCGCCCCCCTCCCTCCCAGATGCCTTAAGGCATTATGGAGTTCATGACGCTGCCGCGTGCCACTAAACTTTGCAGCTCAGGCTGGTTTTGTTTGCACAGCAGTAGTTACTGATTTCTCCAATCGAGCTGTAAACTGGTCTAAGCAGCTCCTGGTGAGCTTGCAAGAGTCATTCCCAGTGCTGGTGAAAACCGTCCCAGCCTGTTTGCTACCATCACTGTATTAGAGGAACCATCTCAAGAGGCATCTCGAGGTATTTAGACTCCAAGGCCTATTTGCTCCCTGGCAGGTTTTGCAGAGACGCCAGGCTGCGCTGCTCACTTCAATGTGAGCATTTGCTCTCCAGAAGCCGCCCTCAGAGCACGCACCTCCATGAGTCAGTGGCCTGGGCAGCCTCTGTGCTGAGAGCCTCCCTCATCTCTGTACTTGTGCCCACACGGCCCCCAGTAAGGAAGGGCTTTGCCCTGGGCTCCATGGGGCAGCAGCATATCTGCAAGCCACCCTTCTGCTCACATCTGTGCAGATATTTTCACTGTTCCACTGCTCTTTATCTTGTTATTCTCTTCTTTATCTGTTTGCAGGCCTTGATTTATTACTGTGAAGCACTTACCCAGCCCAACCTCCAGCTGCAGAGAGCAGCTTGCCTGGCTCTAAGGTACCTCAAGGTAAGAGGCAAGGCACTCAGCTGTGGCACTTGGCATTGCTTTTAAGATGGGGCATATGAAAATGACAGGGTTTATCTTTTGCATTTCATCTTTTGCTCCCTATCATACTGATTTTAAGAGAATGACCTCTGCAAAATATAGAAAAAAAATGTGAGTTCTGGTCGAGAAGACATCCTCTCCCAAAATAAAATTAGCCTTAACGCACATGGTTTGCAACTGTAGAAAAAAAAAAGAGAGAAAGAAATTACAACTCACTTTGTGATACCCCACGGACTGTGTAAGCCAGAAGCACAAACCACACAGGTAGATAACTAGTACACATGAATATAGGGTCTTTTGCTCACTTGTGCTGCTATTTCTGCACTTTACTTGTGACAAAAAGGAAAAACAAAGTTGCCCTTACACTGGTCGTGGAGAGCCCTGGGAGGCAGCAGCTGTCTATGCCTGCCTGGTACTAGATACCAGGCCAAAAAAATATATGTTCAGAAGAACTAACACTACAGACTGATTATTTCTCCCTCAAAACTGCACCTGGAGAAGACAGTTCTAGAATGTAGCAGCATCCCAAAATCGGCACCTCCTCCAATATCACCTAGACACAAAAGACTCATTTCCCTTGAATGAGGTGCCAGCAGGGCGCTAGCCTGTTGCACAACCCACCCTGACTCCCAGCCTAAACAAGACACATACAAACACCGACTCCCTCGCCCAGAGCCTCTTCCCTGTGTCGTGGCTAAGGAAGGTACCTGCCCTTCATTCCCCTCGCTCTGTTACAGGGTTACTGCAAGACCTACTTAGACACGATGACAGCTGCTCTCTCTGCAGGGCTTTGCAGCAAAGCACAGCAGATTTACTCCTTTTCTTCTCAAAATAGCAAAAGCAAAGAAAACTGTACAAGGGCTGGTCAGCACAGACACCAGTGAGGAGCCTGCAGCAATAAATTCAAGTGACTTGGTTGACCAGAAAACTGCTCCTACAAATACAGTTAGGCCAGCAGGAACAGCCTGTTCTGACTCACCAAGTTTGATAGGCTGGGGATGAAACTCCCTCCCTTGTCACCTGCCTCCCTTTCCTCTTCCCACTGCACTCATACATTGGCACACGGACAGCCTTGTCCTACAGCCCCTCGCACAGCCTGTAGTCAAAAGTCAGCCTTATTTATGCAAATAACATACTTATATTTACAGAAGTATTTGTGCATATGTATACAGTCAGAAAGAAAGTGCAAACAAGACTCAATGCAGTCGCACAAGGTTGTGAAATAGAACCCCTGTTGTAACATGTAGTGCTAATACAGTTGGGTTTGTACTTTCCAGGCTACTGAGAGTATTAAAATGCTAGTCACACTCTGCCAGTCTGACAATGAAGAGATCAGAAAAGTGGCATCTGAAACCCTGCTCTCCCTCGGTGAGTTGCATGTTTTATAGCAACATACACGTGTTTCTGTTTTTAAACACAGCAGCTAATTAAGGCACCTAAGATATACAAATGCAAGGCTCTAGGCTAAAATAAAACTTTACCTAGAGACTCAAACAGATTTAAAATACATATTCTTAGAAATCATTGGTTTTGAAAAACATGAAAATGGACCAAGAGAAATTAAATTGCATGAGTTTGGAGAGGGAAGTCAGAAAAAAATAGCGAAGAAGTTGACAGAAATATTTTATAACGAAGCTGAAGAAGCAGAGATGTTCTGTGTCATACTTTTCTTTTTAAAAAAAATGGACCAGGAAAGAGAGCTGCTGCGTTTTAAAATTTCATGATTTTAGTCAGGTCCCTGCTCGCCCGGCACTCAAGCCAGTAACGCCAGTGATTTGGCTGAACTAAAATCACAGCCTTTGTGTCCTGCATCTCATGGGAAGTCTCCACCTGAGAGTCGTAAGGAGACAGGAGCAGCACACCGTGTGTCCAACCTTCTCCTCTGGGAGAACACTGTGTCACGTGTTGAGCCTCCAGTTCTTACTCAGCTCAACAGGCTACTCAAACAAAACTTACTCTCAAACACCCTTAGCACTGCCACCTGTTCCATGTGGGCTAAGTTATTATTCTGTGCTTATTTGGACACCAGTCTTGCCGAACTCAAACATCTTGTATAGACCTTCATCTGTATCTGGCAGAACAATCTGCCCATCTGCCGGTCATCCAGCTGCACCTCAGTGTGAGGCTGAAACACAGCTGCAGAGTTGCAGGGTCACACTACTTCCAGGACACAGCTACAGTATAAATTAAAAAAAAAAAAAAAAAGCCTATTGCTGGCCCTCCTTTGGCTCCGCAGGCTACACATGAATTTATTTCTGCCTCACAGGTGTGTCCCTCTCTGATGTTAATCATGCAAATCCTTCAAACATTCTCTTTTTCACTCAGCAATTCAGCAGGAAGTCAATCCACTGCTGGACACGTTATTGATCTGGTCTTAACACAATTAACCAAGGTTACATTCATAAACTCCAGGAGATTGTATTGCCCAATTGTCAGTTCCATTCACTAGGCTATATACATGCTGCACTTCGGTGCATACAGATGTCAGTACCTGAGAAAAAAGGGCTTGACAGACACAAATAGTCAGATTCAGCAAACATAGCACTTCCTTTTTGCCTTTTTTGGTGACATGTTAGTAGACACACAGTTAGATTTACTTGTTAGAAGTGCCAAGGCAGGAATTGAGAAGTAGATAAACTTTATACTGTTCAAGAACGGTGTAAACATCCTCTGCTTCAACTGTATTACAGCTGCACCTGAGACCTTGAGAGACAGAGATAATTCAGAAGACAACAAATAGTCTCATATAATCATACAAACCACATCTGCTACTGTTTTACTCTAAATAAAACCAGCAACAAACTACAAGGAGATAAAAAAAATAATAATATGAACATTCAGAGCACAGTTTGTTTTTTAAAGTAATTTCTGAAGTTGCCTTTAATGTTATAAGAAAGTCTAAGAATGGAAAGAAGATGCCAGCAGATCAGTGCTTTCTAAGAGCAGAGAATCCAGGATTTTCAGTTTTCTATAACGCTAACATGTTTCATTAAGTTTGAATATTTTGTGTTCAGGTGAGGATGGGAGACTGGCATACGAACAGCTGGACAAATTCCCTCGAGAATTCGTTAAAGTTGGAAGTCGACGTGGAATGGAAGCTGCCACAGCTTTTTAGATGAAAAAGAACCTGCCTAAAATTTAACAGTCAAAAAAAGATGGAGCATAACTGAGTACGGGAAGTAGAAGGAAGACTTGGCAGAATTCCATGTGAATGTCCTGAAATGTAGCAATTTAAAGAGTTTTTAAAGAAAAGCAAAATGTAAGATCCAGCTATAGAGTTCCTACTGGCTCCTCTATGCAGCTTATGATGGAACAGCTGGATGCTGAGGAAGAATAGTCTTTTGATTGCTCTGTAATAATGTATTTGCAGTTATTCAGCCTCAGCAAACTCCCGAGTTTTTAAAGCCCAGCTTCTTCCTAGATTTTACAGAATATAATATTTGCTTCTTTTAAGTTGTTGTGCAAGCTTGAAATATGTGCTGCAGTATCAGACAGGACACGTGGGAGTCCACGCAAGCAGAGCTATGGATAAGCCTCCCTCCCGCTGGGAGGCGGGTGGCTGCGGCCTTGCGGCGGGGCCAGCAGCGCCGCCCCAGCCCACGCCGCCGCCGGCGTCTCACAGCTGCCTCGACGCTGAGGTAAAGGACTCGTGTGGCCGAGCGCTGCCTCCAGAAGCAGCACGATGCGAGCCCTGGGAGGCGTCACTTCAGTGACTCATGCTCAGCACCTCTGCTGCTCTTCTATTTCCTTCCTCTTGCCCTCCAACAGTGACCGTCATTAATCCTGGGATTTGCTGGGGGGAGGTGAACAATCACGTACGTTCAGAAAAACGATATGGAAAGGTGAAGTGCTCTCCTCACCCCCTCTTTTCAGGGAGACCAAAAGCGAGTACAACATATTGCACAAGTCCCCAAGCCAAGTTCTGCAGGCTGCAAGCAGGACTCATACCCTCTAACTAGTAGCTTCCCTAGAGTGATGGCAATATAAAGTACTAGAACTAGAACAAAAGTGGACCTCAGAGGCAGTAATAAACAGTGTGAAGTGAGTGCGGTCGCTGCCCTCACTGCAAAAATGGAAGACGGTGCCTCACGATGTTGGTTGTGGGCCTTAAGTTAACAGAGATGAGTAGAATTGAACAGAAGAGTGTTCTTGTACTGTGTTCATTATGCATGAAATGCTATTTAGATGTCAATTAAAGTATCCAGATTTGCATAGATTATATAACGGAAGATTGCAAACATCTCACATCAAAAAGAAGCTCTGTGCGCCAAACGCATTTGGCAGGCAGGATTTTTGTTTTGTTTTAGGTTTTTTTTTTACTGTGAATGTTACAATGTACATATCTGTATATTTATAAAATTATATTCTTCCTTTAATTAAAAAGTACATTTTGTACAGTTCAAAATGGTTACTTGTTTACTGAGTATAGACTCTTTTTATAGAAGGTGAAATAACCATGTGTTTTATGTGTTTTTATAACACATCTATCCCATGAGCTGAATTCTCCCAGGTGTTCTTTTGTACTGACTTGTGCTCTTTTTTTTGCCTTTTTTTTTTTTGCCTTTAGTTTTGTGGTATTTGTACTCACCATATTTCCTATCACTTTTAAGTTATAATAAAGATTATTTTTTAATTACTAAGTACATCAGTCCGTATGTACAGTCACTCGTTATGTCAGCAGCTTCCCCAAAGTGAGGCTCATACAACCTCCAACCACAGTGGAAATCAGCTCCCAGACTGCTCAGTTAGGGCTCCCTACTTATTATTGGATTAAACTTGTTATTGGTAAACTTTTTTAATCATTTTAAGGCAAAGAGTTTGTGAGCAATAGCTGTCTTTCCAAGTCTGGTCATCAAGTCACCATTTTATCGCAGTCTCAGAAAGTTTACCGAAGTTATGTGAAACCACCTGCTAAGTGTCTCTCAGAGTGGAAACATGTAATTCCCGCTTTGTAGAAGGCCAGCTCATGGAGATATTAAAGCAGTCCTGTTCTAAATCTTATCCAAACATACAGATTACAGCACATGACCAGTAGACATAGTAGAGAGTTCTATCTGAGGGCAGAGAGTGAACTCCAGCTTCTTGTGTGCTAGAAGAAATGGTGCAGTCTTAACTTGTGTTTTAATAGGCACAACTTTGCTTTTTCATAGGAGACTGGTTTGGCAACACCTACCTTTCCCCTGACAGTAGAAAGATAACTATGTTAGAAATTAAATATATCGCGAACCAGACAGGTAAAGAGAAGTAGAAAAAAGATGAAAACATGCTGAAAATTTGGCGATATGAAGTGAACCAAGATACATTTTACAAAGAGGAGTTTTAAACTAATGTTTTACTGGGGAGTTGTCACATTTCAGTGCTCCTTCTCTGTTTGTTCCACAGTGAGTAGCTCTTGTTCCCATCCTAGAACCTCAGCAAGAAGTGTATGTTTAAGAAAAAACAGAATATTCTTATATTCCCATAACTACTAAAAACTCTTATTTAAGTAAAGCAGGAAGTACATAACATACCTATCAGAAACTTGCTTATATTTTGTTTATTACAAGGTAGAACATTACTTAGAAACTATGAAGTCACCAAATTCTATGTAGTGCATTCGGAACCGCTGCTTAGTTACAAATTACCTGGTTTCTTTCAAGCAAACACAAGTGCCCTACATTCCCAGCTAAAACAGCTTTCAATGTCACTCAAGTTGCTTTAAAAGCTCCACAAGGAGTACCAGGAAATAATGCTGAAGAGGATCCAAAACTGTTACCAAACTTTTATCGATTATCTTTTCCCTTCTGTGAAGAAAGGGCCTGACCAGACAAATGACAGTGCTCTTCACCATAAAAAAATTCAGGATTACGGCATAGACCTGAGGAACACAGAACTACCAATAGAGGAGAGAGCCCAGGCTGCAATGAGCATAGGACTGCTGGCATATACAGGTACCGTGACAAGTGGGTTTGATGATACACTCTACTTTTGTCTAATTGTAGTTTGAATCCACCCTTTGTGAAGTGTATTAAAGTGGAGCCAGTCTATTATTTTGTTATAACCTCTTAACAGCTGCTTATATAGCTCATACATAACAGGTAGGAGCAAACCCCGCTCTTAATAAAGTCATAAAAAAAATCATAGAAATGGCAGTTGGAACGGTTAGAATCATCTCTTAAATTTAAGAACAAAACCAAACAAAAGGCCCAGAAGTTTCTGCCTTTAGAGTTACATAGGATTCACTTTCCAAAAGTTTTCTAAGTCTTCTAAAACCAGAAACAGCCAATTATATTTGTCTCCTACCTAAGATGTTCCTGTGCCCACAAGGCTGGCGGTTCTGCTTTTTCCTACTTTGCTTAATGCAAGAGCTCTTCTTCCAGGAGTGAGAACAGAAACAACCACGTAGAGACAAAGTCAAGCAAACATTGGCACAACCAGTGCCGCGCGAGCCCGCAGGCACTAATCACAAACCCTTCTACTCAGGGCTGCAGCCGGCCAACTCCCGCAAACCTAAAGGTGAAGGCCAGCCCAGGAACCTCGGTTTTCTGCCAGGGTTTTCATACTGTTGTCATGTGTGTGGTTTCTCCCCGGTGGATATAAGCCCGAATTGCCTCTGTGCTACTCCGGCTGCAGCAGAAGGATAAATTAGCCTGCCCAGAGTTCGCACTGCCCTGAGGAAGAGGCTTCCTGTACTCCATCTAGCCCAAGGAAAACCACCTAGTGCTGCTTTAAAGCTGCACTCTGTGTTACATACCCATTATTGCTAACTTGAAGCATTCAAAATTAGCATTCAGTAAGACCAGCTGGCAGTATGCATGACATAGGGACCTCACCTCTTCCAGGCTTGCCAAGAGGCTGTTTTCTGCCCCAAAGAGCCTCCAGCTGGAGTCTTCTCCAGCTGCTTCTGCTTTCTCTCTGCTACCCACATGACACATTTCAGTAACTCCATGAAGCCGCAAGAAAATGTTTAGGTTTAGTTAGGTTTTAGTTTTTAAAAACTTTCAAGTTTACATTTTAGCTTTCCACCACAACCATTAAAAAAATTCACTCTCAAAAAAAGCCAGTGAGAAGATAGTCCTGAATTCCAGAATTTGAGCTTTAGTAAGGTAATCAAACGCTAAGATGCTCTGAGAAATGGCCAAGCAAGTGTCCAGATTGTGTACACAATACATGTAAGTGTACTCGGTATTGCAGCTAATGCAATTTGAATAAGTAAATAAGATTTTAAACATTAAATCACTTCGAAGCACAGATCCTAAAGCTTTGCTGAAAAATCTCATCTTTGAGAATTCCTCAAGTGTTTTGCTTTTTATGCTTTATTAGTTCTGTTTAAAATCATGGTCTTTACCTACACCTTATTCACAGTTTCTAGGCATCAAAATAAAAACTCCAGCTTGTTATTACTAATATTACAGCAAACTGCTGAGAGCACTATTAGGTTCAAGAGCAAGATTCTTAATCTATCTTATTACTATTGCAGCAAAACATATTAGTGTGGGATAAATTTTGCTGATAAGCAGTGGGATTGTCTAACAACAAGATGCACTGTAGTCCTCTCCAAATGCTTGGGTGCCAGCAGAGGGTACTACAGACGTATCATTATTCCCAGGGATTCAACTTGGAACGTAGCCGATAACTTCTCCCTACAGACAGATCTTAAAGCAGCACCATTATCACTTGCAGAACTATTTTGTGCTATTAGATAACTGGAAAAAAAAATTAACAATACACAATATTTTCCACATAACATCAGTTGATGATAGCAGTGCAATTCAGTTTCAAGAACAACAGAGCCCAAGTAGATTTTCAACCTCTGCTCAAAACTTCCAAACCAGTAGAGTAAATGAATATGCACCGTGCTTCCCCACAAAAGCTGCTGAGCAACTGAACTATCTGTGCAAAGCCTGCAAACGAAGCTGCAAAACACAAGGGTGCAGGCCCCTGGTAAGCAATACAATGCCAAACACCAAGGGATTTCAGCTGCCCAGCCTAGTAGTGATTATAGGCTAACTCACACCTGCTACACATTATGTCTTAAATACAATAGGTGTTTCCATTGAAACTTTTATTTTTGCTAAACATATTTTCGAATTATAAAGTTCTTCCTCATATGAACCCAAGTTTTAAAGTTTTGTTACTTTTTGAAACATCTGGCATCTGAAAAAGCTCTTTCTCCTAACAGAAAAAACACTATAGTTTGACTTACCTGAAAGTCACAACTTGCGTGAGGCTCCTCTGCACATTTTACAGGAGCAGTACTAGAACCTGGTCCTTGCAGGTGGATCCTACCTCTGGGAAGCCTCTGGATACTTCTGTGATTCAAGAAGTCATGGCTGTAACCTGTGCAAGGAAAAGGGAGTCAGTTTGCTGGCCAAGTTGGAACACACACAAAAAAAAAAAAAAAACCAATAAATTTCTGAAAAATCCCATTCCCCAGTCAGGTTCCTGAATGGATGATCTGATCCTGCTAGCAGAATGTTCTCTCTAACCTCCATATGCCCCAGGTGATGCTCATCAGCCACTGTCACATGGTTGTGTGTCAGTGGTAGATGAGAGCTTCCCTATACACTTATACAAAAATAACAAATTCTGTAAAAGAATAATGTACTCATATATCACTACTATATATTTGACAAGTCCTTCACACATACATACCAAGTTGCCATATATACTATGTAGGGTAATCATACTGCGTGTATTTTTTAAAAAAGGCATTTTGAGGACAGTAAACCTTCAAATTCTTCATCCTTTTAGAAGATTCATATGCAGTGCTTACATTACATTAATACATTGTCACCTGTTTTCATATTTCTATAGGAGAAATATTTTCATATTTCTCCTTCTGACACAATAACTGAGGCACATGGAGCTTACACTATTTAAGGTCCAATGCATACATGAAAGAGCAATAGCATATGTATGGGCTCAAATTCCATACTATCAGTCTGTCCTCATACCTAACCTTGTCCTGCTGTGTATTCTTCCAAGGGTTTATATAGCAGACTATTCTCTACGACATAGCAATTAAGAGGTCCACAGCAGCCTTGGTTTGGAGATCTCCTGTGCAAGTTACCGTGTTTCTAACCCAGGTTCTCTGTACATTGCCATCATGTTGTGTGTTACAGGTGGGACAAACGCTGCAATATGCGCATCAGAATACATACAGGACTTGTATGATCTATTCTGCACACAACCCGTATCAACAAAAGCAAGGATCCTCGTACTCCAAGGACTGTCCTGTATCTGTTATACAAGTCCTGGCAACCGAAGAAAGGCAAAAGATTTAAATCTAATAACCTGTCTTCTTGAGCACCTGGAAGAAGAGCAGGAGTCAGCATCAGCGACGGTCCAGTTCTGGATCTGCTACCTGCTGACAGTTCTGTGTTCTAACAACATCCCCTGTATCATGGCAGTGCACAAAGTAGGAGGTGAGAAGCTAGAAAAGAAGCTGACAGCCCTGTCTCGCATGGATTGGTTTGGCTGGCCAGATAACTATGCAGCAGCGCTTTTTTCCCTTCTAGGGTTTCAGAGACTTCAAACTGTTTCATAGGTTTAAAAGGGCCAGCTCAAAAGAAGAGTTATGGCCTGAACACTGTAAACTAGCATCCAGTTTCCTTAAAAAAGTACTAGTGCAAATTAAAGGAAACATCTTTCCCCAGCCTTTCTACACATAGATTGAGGGGCAGTTATTCAATGTGGTTTGCTACACCTGTGTGCTACTGGGCTTTAACATGAAATGGAAGCCAGGCGGAATATCACTTCCCCCAAATACTTTCAAAGGCAATAACACCAGAAGCATTAAAACATCCATTAAATTCCTGAAATGCACATAGGAAAAAATCTAAATGTGCTTAGAAACTAGGCTTCACCTGTAGACTATAGCTTGCATAGAAATCTGTTAACTAAGGATGCTGTCGCTGTGTCTCAACTTTCTATTGCACTTCAGTAAAGTTTTGTGCACAAGACTTGGGAAATGCATGAAGAAAATCCATTTGACTCAAAATACACACCATGTCTCAAGCTTAAGTGAAGATAATGATAAATGACTGTAGGAACAGAATATAGCTGCTTACAGGTGAACATAAAGTTCAGAGCTGCATTCCTCAAAAGCCTAGCTCCATAGCGCCCATCCGATAGTTTCTCAGGAACCCGCGAGGGTTTTTAAGTGCCCATGCTGGCAAGACCTTCAGCACGTAGCTTATAGAAATTCTGATAAGAATCCATAAACCAGAACATTTCCCATTACCTCAGTCCACTGGAAGTCAGTGGCCACCACCTGCTTTTAAAGCTGCCTCAGGAAGACTTAACAAGCTGACTGCTGAAAATGAACTTCAGGCCAAAAACTCTGTATTTACTCTCTCTCTATTCCTTCAGTGCTTGCACAATGAGCTTCCCCCTCCCCCCCCCCATATAAACATCAAATAAGGTTAAAGTAACCAGTATAAAAACACACACAAAAAAAACCCTTTTCAGTCCTGTAAATGCTTTCCAAAATGAAGCAAACATTCCTATTCTAATAAGCATAAACTGCTTCACATCTTGGTAAATACCAACACTTCACTTTTAAAACAAACCTTGAGTTACCTCTTAGAATAGCTCTCAAGCATATGCTGTTTTATTCCCATCTAATTTTCAGTGGAGCTGCTTTTAAGGGCAAACATAATAACCCATCTTCCTTTTAAGTTAAGCAAATGTCATCTCTCTAGAGAGAATGATCTAGCACTTTTTGTTTAGGTAAGCTCCCCCTTAAAGACAGATCTTGGGGAAAAAAAGAAAATTCCCTCCAAAAAGGGACAAAGGCAGTTCTTTGAAAATACCCAAGAGCATAAACCTAAGTAAACCTCAGATGACCTTGAGTCTCATTATCAATCCTGGAGTCATCCTTAAGTCTCAATAACAGCTCAAATTTGTGTCTCAAAAATGGGGAAAGGACAAGAGTGTTTTGTGTCCGTAGAAGTTGCCTGTTTTCCAGACACTAACAGTCTTGTCATGTTCTTTTCCCCTCATGCTTCTTTTATTATAAATACCATACTTCACTGTAACCTTCCTTTGAAAAGCCTTAAACATCAGAGATTAGCTTATTGTTTACCAAGCACAGGAAAAGGCCTGGACTGTTTTCATCACTGCTTGCTCACCAGTTTAACTTTGTTGTACTCCCAGTAAGATAACACTAGCTTTGCCTCCAAAGAAACACAGACATATTTTATTTCCCTTCACAAGTAAGGCTACTTTAGATAAAGCTCCCTCCTCTACTAAGAATCTTGTTGCACCAAACTTTATGAGAAGGTCAAAGCAGCCTAGTACTACATAGTCTCCCCAACACTTGGTACAACAGACTTTTTGCATTTACCTTTCAGCTTCCTAACCCATGCATCAATTCCATGCTTACAATAGGTTTAGTCATTTTTGAAGCTCTGGTATTTGCCTATCAGGGAGCTCCTAAGGACTGAGATGTAACCTATTAACTGCCACTGAAATTTAAGTACAACTTTTTATCAAGCTGAAGTCTCACATACAAACGTGTTCATTTAAAGTTTAGTATTTCAGTTAAGCACAAGCCAAACGAAATCAGTGTTGAATACAGAAGAGTGACACAATCAAAGGGTTGCTCTTAGAGCCAAAAAAGTCAGAACATGTCCTTAGCCAAGCAGAATCCTTCAGCAGAATATAGACAAGAGCAAGAAATCCTGATGTGCAGCCATGGGTAGCAAAACAGCCTTCAATAAAGCTGTTCTTCAGAGATCTAGAAATCCTGGGAGGTCAAGAGCACCGAGACACTCACCAGTTAATTTGATGACTTCAATATACAGTAGTTACAACTTGGAACATAAAAATAATTCTCATCCAAATAAGAGGCTAAGTGTTTTGGTAAAGATTTATTTATCAGTTTTCATGTATCATGTCAGACCAACTGACAAGATACTATTTACAAAAAAGGTTGAAATACACAGTATTTGCATTTATACAAGCAACTAAGTGCAGCCTGTAACGTTTTCTAATTGGTATCAAGTTACTCCCACTGCTACATAATTCCAGTTAAAACAAACATCTCTAATCCTCCCACAAGAGTTTCTCTATGTCAGAAACTTTAGTAGACCTTTTCAAGAGGAAGTCTGCAATTAAAAAAGCCACATGCATGAACCCCTTTACTTCAGACTTTGTTTTAAACAAAGTGAAAGTTAACCTTCCTCAAATCACACTATACTTGTACTGGCCCTTCTTCAGGAGAGTCATCTACATCCCCAGAGTTAATTTCTTCATTTTCTTGTTCAAAATCCTCTAGAGCCAGAGTTTTCAGTGCCTCAAGATTGTCAGGTACTTGCCCAGTTAGCCTCTGGAAAAACAACAAAGACAATGTGAATTTAACATTCTTTGCAGTTAATAGCCAGGTGGGAAAAAAGGCTGTGTATTAGATTAAGCAAAGATTGAGTCAGCTTCATTTGGAGAGGGTGAACTCTGAGGGGGGGGGGGGGGAAGGGTTCAAGGGGTAAAGACAAGGAGACTTTAGGACGACACTTGTAATTTGCAAGATGGAGGTAGAAAACTGGGATGAGAAAGCAACAGGCTTGTTAACTGGTCTTCAAGTGGTAGGAAGTTGTTCAGCAGATTTGTCTTAGACAACCTAAAACATGGGCAACTGTTTCACAAGTCAAATCTTGCTGTATTACTATATACTGCAGCACTAAGTCCTTTCTAGGAAGAAATCAGTTCACTGTTATAATTAGCAATAAAGAAGCCAAGTTGAGTGTAGATGAAATGCTAAACTAGGATACTGGTCTGGCAACTGCTACCACTGGGTGATCAAACTAAAGTGCCAAGGGGAATAAAGACAGAATTGGAGGAGTCTGCTTTTGAGGTTCCAGCTTGTTAGGCATCTCACTTCAGGAGTCATCACCACTCACTTCTTGAGCTAAAGGCTCACAAATGAGCAGCTTACAACACTGGTAAGTGAGCTTAACTGTCTTATCTGCGGCTCCCAAACAGTTTCCAGTTGCACTGGCTCTTTAAGCCCGTAAGTCATTTAATTTCTGCCTTGGAGGTTATTACTAACAACTGAACTGACAATGCCCTCTTTGTCAGTGTCAATGAACACTGACAAAACTAAATCAAGTATAGTAAATTAGTGAAGTTTTTCAGTACTGAGCCAAACAATTGCATCAAACCAGCTTGATCAAATTAGTTATTCAATCATGCTGCTTGTGGTAATACTCCCAGCTTTGTTTTCAGCTCCACTGGCTAATTAGAGTCAAAATACTTAATCACCCAGCTTCATCTTGAGAGCTTAAATTCTTGAAAAATACCATAGACAATCACTTGCCTTTTTAAAAATTTGCAGATTCCATAGCTAACCATTGACTACAGGTCAGTAGTTGCTGCAGACAACTTACTCCTCCTTTCACAGAACCAGGGAGAAGGCTACTTATTCCCTAGGAACTAGGTGAGAGGGAGAACCAGGCAGTGTAGAGCTATTTAGGAAATTAAATTTTGAAGTTTGCAGCCTCAAGTGCAAAACAAACAGGCATTACTTCCTCAAAGTGATCCCTAGTGGTATCAGTCTTAGCTTTTACCTAAGGAGACATCACCTTTAATATCTTTGCTTAAGGTGTGCAAACATGTACTCCCTGGACAGGGCAAGGTAATTTGTGTTTACAAAATTATGTAAAAAAAATCTTTTATTTAAAGTAGTAATTTTCTTATTATTTTGTATTCATTGGTATGAAGCCTCACTTGGCTAGAACAGAATTTCATTAAACATTTTTCAACTAGTAAAACTTTAAATCTAGAACCACATTTTTAATTCATCTACAGCAGCTGTTTGCCACATCTGCCACACAAGCACTAGATGCTTCAAAATTAACACTCTCAGATTTTTCCAGTTCCCAGTTGTCTTCCTACACGTCTAATAACAAAGAAGTCATCAGTCTATTCCTAGACATTGCAGCCTCTTTCCCATTAAGCTTTGGCTCTAGATACTTGATCTGGAAAAGACATTCTCTTACAAGAGCCTTTAAGTCTCTTCTTAGAGGAACCCCACAAGAAAACAGCACATCTGTACAAACTTAGTACAGAGAGTCATGCCAGCACAAAACAGAAGCTTTGATTAAAAAGCTTCCTTCTCATTCACTCCATTGTGTTAGTTTAAAGTTCCTTCAAATACCTCAATCACGCTGGTCATGTAACGCACATGTTCCGCTAGTGACAGGAGCTCTTCGTTTTCTTCCTTTAGAGAGGCAATTTCACAATCTTTCTTTTCAATTTCTTTGTGCAACTAAGGTCAAAAAACAAGAGGTTAAAAAAATGCCAGTAGTGAATAGTAAAGAAATCTCATCTTTCACTTGCTACCTTCTCATTTTCTTGAAGTACTTCATACAGAGCCTTCCTCCTTTGTTCAGCCACTTCTTTCCAGTACTGAGATGAAGGACTTTCTGAAGAGAGAAGCTACAGTAAGTCTATGGTAAGACAAGATTCTAATAGATTCAAGATACCCAGCTTGGATAAAAGTATTCCATACACTGCATGAACAAGCTCTCAGTATAGCGTGGGTTTTCAGCTGTCTCTGGGAAAGCACCTGGAGACATGAGTTTACGGGACACCTCATATTCAATCTGCAAAAAATTTTATCAGGCTTGCCAGCACACACTGCAAGATGGACAGCCACACTTGCAAGAGTCAGACTTAGCCTCTACTTTACGGAGAACAAATCTTGATATTAAGTCACTGTCCACTAGGACTAAGTAGCATTCCATGAAGCTTCAGATACCATTTTAAAACTAGCTCTGAGAACTAACCAGACTGAATATTGGCCCACTGAGCCAAAGCAGATATCTGTTTTGACACAGTCATTAGTTGCTTGCAGCTTGTTGTTTCATTTGGCTTAGAACTTCAAGACTTCACACTGCTGCATGGTACAAGCTTATGGTAGCTAACTATGCTTATATTTTATATTATAGTAAATAAAGTGTAGTTAATTCTTGCTAGGCAAGACATAAAACACCAAACCTCTATTAAACTGACAAAGGAAGCATGCTTCAAGTTATGCTTCCAACAAAAACATCACCTTTGAAGTGCAGGGAAATATTTCAGGAGCCACCACATACTTTTTATCATGAGATCTACTGCTTGAATGACATCATCTGTGTTTTCATTTTCTTGCTCATTGTCCACAGCAGTCTCAGTTTTGCACACCTTTGAAGTTAGCTTGCTATTCCAGAGTTTCCTTTTGATTGAAGATTTCTCCTGCATAAAACAGGTGTTTGACTTCAGAACACCAATATACATTTAACTCTGCCCATTCTCACATAAGTTGATCTGCATTAAGCCTCATTTCTTCACATTAGAAGTTCTATCTCACAACAACCTCCTTGATACCCACATACTTAATATCAAAGTTCTGAAATACTTCCTTGAATTATTCTGAAGCTACTGCAGTTAGTGTTGCTTAGAATTATACTCAAGTTGTGTCACAATTTTTCAAAAATGGCTTTTCAACTTAAAAGTTCAAAAGCAGTTTGCTCTGAGCAGAGACCATCATGTATTTAGACGTGATCATACCTCATTATGTCTGCCAACCAGGCAGCCTGCAGCTGAAGGCTGAATCATTTTGAGAGTCCGTCTTGGGGCAGTATTGCATATGGTATCTGAGAAGTACTTCTGAAAGAAAGAACATGGTATCAAACAGCTACCCTTCTCTGCCTGCACTGAAACTCAGGGTGCATATCATGCTTTCATTGCATTAACACATGGCTTGTCTTTAAGATGAAATGTCTGTTTTAAGACTTAACTACATTCCTTTTTTTCTGCTTGGTCTGGTCAATTGTAACATGGACTGATCTTAATCATGTGAAGGCTCAATCCCTACCCATCTTAACCTTTGGCCTTCTTAAGGGAGCTTGAAGAGGTCTTAAAGCAGAAATACTTCAAGGCCAGCTACAATGCAATGACACATGTAAAACTTTAGTTAAGTCATATTTGACAACAACAGCACTAGATAGAGACAGGGAAAGCAACAGTGTAATTGTATTTTACGTGGTAAAGCCATGCAAGTCACTTTAGCCAGTACTGGTTCTCATGAAATGCACACCACTTGTCAGCTTCTGATTATTAGTAATTAGAAGTGTCATTTCTCCATCAAAAGGGGTCTAAAGCTTCCCTGTTTGGATCCAGACCCACTATTGTTTTGTATAAACAGCATGTTTATCACCTTTCTTGTCATGCATAAACACTTATTTCCTGGATTAAAGCTCTCTGATTGGGCTAGTCATACTGCCACCAAGGGATAGCAAACAGTGGCAGACAACCAAGCAAGAACAGCCAGAACACAATGCCACAGCAGCGTGAGAAAGTCACTGATTCACACCGTACTCCAGAGTTCACCTTTCCCACGGTTAAGCCTCTGCCACCAATTATCCTACTATTGAACTGAAGGACAAACACCAGCCACTGTGAGAACCAAAACACACACACAAACTCATGTCAGACACTGCTTGCTGCTATTGAAGATCACAGTTAAATATATGCTGCCAATGATTTATTGACCAATACTCAAGTTAATCCATTGCCTTTAATTATTTTAAATAATCCAAAACAATCTTACAATTCTTAAACAATCTGAAGAATTTAGAAATATTCAATAGAGCAAAAAAAGACCATATTTTAAGTCAGACTTATCTATGATTTTTCATTAATACCAGTGACTATTACAAATCTAAATTTATCCTGCATAGTAGAGATACTAGCCTCTTTGCATTCCCATTAGGGGCTACATTAAAAGACTATAAAAACATCATTTAAGAAGGGAGAATAAGTTACTTACACACTTTCACAGCTTCTAATCCAAGACATCCCTTAAATTAAATTATATCTTGCATTTCTACCAGTTCCAGGGCAAATGATTCTCCTGAGAGGGGCTTTAGAAAGGAAATTGCCTGCATAGGTATGTCAGTTAAAGGATGCTCAGAGTGAGACAGATTCAACATTTAGAATTCATTCCAATATGCAACAAAAGCTGGCTAGCACCCACATTGCAGGCTCTGAGCATCCAGGAGAGCCCAGTAACATCCAGGTATTCAGGCTTAGTCTAAGGGAAAGCCAGCACCTAAATCACATGGAAAGGCAGTGAGCTACCTCAGGGTCAAGCTAAAGAGAAAAAAAAAAAAAAGAAGAAAAAAAAAAAGACACAAATTTATTTCTTGCTGGGCAATAGAAAAAGAGCAGCCATAAGCACATACACACTAGAAGCCAGGGACAGCATTCCCAAGCCACATGGCATGCCAGAAGATTGCTCAAGCCAACAGAACATGGGCAGGTGAGAACACAGTACAAGTGATTGCTTTGTGTTGCCTTCAGAGGATATAAAGCAGCTTATGTCAGACAGTGCATCCACTTCCCAAGGATTAGGGAGCACATTTCACAAGAGAAGGCTGTGTTCCAGGGATTTGTCATGTACACCATCTATTTTATGTGCTTTAATCTATTCACTGTGCTCCAGCTGCAAGAGCTTAGAGTTTATACCTGTAGAGAACCTGATGATTTTTCCACGGGAAGTTTCTTTTTCATTTTGGAATTCATAGGATCACTGCAAGAGAAAAAGCAAACGTTGCAAGATCGCAGTGGCTCCCTGCCCCCACCGCGCGCCGCCCAGCGCCGCCTCACATCCCAGGGCGCCAGACTATCCCACCGCCCCCCTGGATGGGCCGCGGGCACGCGGCTCCCTCCCGGGCCGCGGGAGCCAGGGAGGGCAGGTCCCCTCCCCAAACCCACTGCTCTCGCGCTCCCCAGCGCGGCCAATGGGGAAGCGAGCCCGGAGCCCGCGAACACCCCAACGCCGGCCCCGGCAGCGCGCAAGCACGCCGCCATACCCCCTTCCCCACGGGCCCGCGCCCCACCGCCCGCGCGAAGCCCAACGGCCGTAACGGACGCTCACCGCCGCGCACTCTCCCGCCGCATTCGAACGCGCGCGCCACACCTGGGGCGCCCTCCGGCGCGCGGCTATAAACGAGCGGGCCGCCCGCCGCACGTGACCCGCCCTCCTGCGCGCGCCGCCCCCGCCCGGCGAGCCAATCGCGGGCCTCCGCCGCCATCCTCGCCCCGCCCCGCGTGCCAGTGGCGGGAAGCCGCGGCGGGGGGCGGGGCGGGCCGGGCCGTGAGGGCAGCCGCGTGAGCGGCGCTAACGGTCGCCCTAACTGCCGAAATACGGACTGAAATTCAAATAGGGAAAACGCTCCGAATTCAGTGTGTCACATACGATCCCAGTTATCCTTAATTAGCTCCGCTAAGTATGTATCAGCTGTGCTGTGCTAAGTTTACTCGAGCAAACTTTACAAGCACGATATTGTAAATATTACATTCTATTTTTTATTTATGTTAGCAGTCTGCTAACTTCTGAGGAAATGTCTGTGGGGTTAAGGATGCACTCCTTGCAGTCAAGACTCGCAGTAGATTGCTAGCCTAGAGCTGGCCATCAAGCTTTTTTTCTTTTTTTTTTCCAGGAAATACAATGTTCCTATTAGAAATCATGATAGTTATGGAAAGAAGTACTAAATTAACATGCCACCCTGTCACACATATTTGGAAGTAAATGCACTTAGAGGAATGTTTTAGAGGAACAACAGATGAGAAAAGAGAAAGGCAGAGTATTAAAAATACAGAATTAAGAAATCTTTAAACAAAAGTGAACAAATAAAGCAGGTCTCTCTTGCATAAACTTGCTCAGTCTGTTGTTGACCCATGTAAACTCTTACTATCCACAACATGCTTTGGCAAAGAGCTGCAGGGCTCAAATGGCTGCTGGCTGTAAAACACAACTCTATTATTTTTTTTCTTCTTTTGAACCTGTCTTCTCACAATAACCTAGTCTTGTAGAGATAAAAAGCAGTCCCTGTCTGCTTTCTCCATGTCATTTGGCTTCATCCATCTCTGTCATATCCCATTCCAGTCATCTCCTCCAGGGCTACTAGGTCGCCGCCTTACATGGCAGCTCTTCCGTCACTCGGGTCTTCTACAAACTATGTCCACTCCAACCAGCCTTTCTAGCAGCAGCTCAACACTGACCTGGCATTTTTGGGGGGTAACAAGCTGTCTGAACTACAAGATCTCACTCCTGAATGATGGTCAAACCTGTCATTTGATATATCAAACTATGATTTTTTTCCCCTTGTTTGTCCTTTTGCATTTTTTTACACTGAATTTCACTGATTGTTGTATTGTCCAGCTACTCTATCTGGTAATGCTCTTCCAAGCTTTGCAGTCATGCCTTGTACATATTACATTGAATAATTTTCTTTCATCAGCAAACTGTCACTTCAATTAGCTTGATCTTCTCCCAAGAAAATAAAATTAAGCACAGAAACATCTCATTTATTATGGTTCTATTATGCAAAAAAAAGCATTTTTAAAAAAATGTTAATTCTCATTGATTGCTGAAGGAGGTTTGAGGTTTCTATATTCAAAAACACTAGTAGTTATGCTACGCTCTGATTGAGCCTACACATAAATCTTTGCACAATTAGATTTCCCATCAGAAAGATCCTGGATGGGGAATTTGTCTAAACCAATTATACAGGTAATACATACATAATTTTTGTAGTACATATCGACAACACAAAACATGTTATATAAAATATGTTAAAATAATGTGCATGCACAGCAATATGAGTAGTTCATATGGCAGTGGTATCATATCTGTAATACCTGTGATATCCTATCTGCTCCTTTTGAGTGAAGCTAACTCAAAAGACGACCTTTTAAAAACTACAAGTTGTAACTCATCCAAAGTTTTCAGGTGAATCCACAATTCTAAAGTAATAACTACTTTTGAAAGGGCCGATAACTGGAATGGGCAGAGGTCATGGGAGATGGGTCTGATGTGACAGAGCCCTGCTTGCTTTTCCTTTTAATCTCTTCCTTGTGGGAGGCACATGCAGTCCAGAGGTGTATTACAAAGGTGCCACTCCTTTACTTGATCCAGCCAGGGAGAGGCCCTGGAATGAACTGCTCACAGCTTTTCTTCTGCTCCGTTTCTTCAGTTTGAGGCATTTGTAAAGCATCTGCACCACGTCGGAAAGAAGGCGGAGAGATTATTGTCAGAAGCTTATTCAGAGTCCAACTGTGGGAAACGAGTAGAATTATATATTAAAAAAAATCATAGGTTTCAGGTTTCATTGTTGTCATAATCCCATTTTTGTGGTTGTAAGCTACATTTATATAGAAGGTATGGTGCTTTTACCTGCAAAAAACTGTCATTCTCAATACTAGTAGAAAAATACATTTCTTCAGATTCACTTTGACATGCTGCATTTCAGCTTGCTTGCTTCATAAAGAACCAAAACTGTGTCATGAAAACTGAGGACTATTCGCATTTCCTGTGAGCCTATGCAAACAGGCTGACATTTCCCACAGAGCTCGGCCAACTTGTCAGGCAGTTCGTGGCAGCGGAGTATGTGCACTTGCCGAGGGTTTTATCCTTCGGATAAAACCTACCTGTTCTTATAGCAAGGGACAAATGCAGAAGGTTTCTCGGAGCACTTTGTGTACCTGGGAATAGGTGGGAAGGCACTGTGCAGTTCCTTGTAACTCCACGCATCCAGTCCTGCGTGGATTCCTATGTGTAGGATCTTCCTAAGCCGCACGCAGCAAATTAGCCAGCTCTGTGGCACTCAAGGGCTCATTTCTGTTTTCACCTGCTGTGCATTTGTCAAGATCTTAAATGCTTTCCTACTTATTAGTACTTAATGTGGGCAACTGCTGCAACCGTTTCAGACACAAGAGAACTACTGTGGAGACACTCAAGGGCTTCAGCTCCGTCTTGTGCCTCTAAGAAATAATCAATTTCCTCTTAGTCCTGCTCTGAGTGCAAGTCTTGCAAAAAGGTCCTGGGAGGACAGCCCCGAGGCCGCGTTTTTGATCTTCAAATCAATAAGCAGGAACTGCAGCTCCTCGCTCTCGTTAGCCCTTCAGTCCAACAAAATGGCCATTTATTAGGGGATGAAAAGAAAACTGAGGAAGCCTGGCCTGCAGTGAATTAACTGCTTGTCTTACATGCTGCTCAGCTGCTGTTTCCTGACAGCCTTGGCTTGGAGCACGGCATATTTGGGGCTTCACAGCACCAACTCCAAAAACACGCTCGCTCCAGGTGGCAGCGCCGCCTTGCTCTGCCCTGTGCTTCCCTTCCCTTCACATCCTCCTTCTGGGGCATTAACACCTTGCACCCTGAATGTTTTCCTGCTGTATCGTGTGTTAGGCACAAGGAGCTTATAGTTGGTGTCTCTTTTATGATTCTTTTCCCCAGGAAAATCATCCCCAAACCTAACTGTTCTAATAAAGTGGCTCAGAGAAACGATTACACGCGCGGCCCAATCCATGCGTAACCCATAACACAAGCAGGCCTACGATGGCCACTGCTATTTATCCCATCTCTCGAAAGTTTGCAGTTCCTCTCTGAATTAGAAGAAAAGGTTTTCCTGTGAGTACAGTGGTCCTTAGTGCTCCAGAATGGAAAAAAAATAAAAATCATCTCTCTCTTTCTGAATTCTTTTAGTAAAGAATTACACATCTTTAAGACATCCCTTAAAACATTGTTAGGTTCTGTATTTTTTCTTTGAAAAAAAAATCTTTTCTGTAGGACTTTTGAGATTAAACAGGAAACAAATAATAGATTTTTATTCTCGCAAGCACCTGCTGAACTAAAACAAGGAAAAGAAATGCACTGAAACAGACCCGGCTACCTCTGGTTTTGACTCGTGGGACTGACTGACCGAAGACGGGCGCATTGGCGCGGCGCGAGCTGAAGGTGGCGACTCCGTGACAGAGAGTCAGCGCCCACTGCACTGACTCTGCACGTCCTTGCCCACTGGACATGACTCTGTCCAAGGGGATTTGAATGGCGAATTTATTTACACATCTCAAGCTGAGTTTGCAGGCCGGGTGGCTGGCTTTTTACTGTGTTTTCAGACATTTTCAGAATAAATGCAAAGTGTTAGAAACCACAGCGTGCAGTTTGCATTTCTTATGGAAAACGTTGGATGTGGTGGCCATGCTTTTGAAGAAATTGTCACTGCCGTATTCAGAAAGGCAGCTGACCGTGTCAGTGTTTTGGGAAGATGTCTCCTGTACATCTTAGCTGCACATACACTTAGCAGGCCTAACCAGGAGTAGGAAAGTGTAAGCTTGCCAAGGGAAAAATGAAAACACACAAAATCAAATGTACTCAAATATTTATATATATATATATATATATATGTTGCTAATTATTAAGCTGGAACAGACCCAGTAAGATAGTGGATGAACTTCCGCCAGTTTAAGATCAATACCTCACGTGCCCAAGAATTGTAGGGTGACAGCCTTGCTGCTAGAAAGCAGGACAGACGGAAGGGATGGACGAAGCTGAATGCCGCAGCCACAGCTGAGCTGTGGACATACCCCTGTCGACAGTGGGATGTTTAGTAAGTTTTGTACACAAAACACTGCCACTCCCCTCTATGACAGCGTTCCTGGAAACTAATGTTTGCTCTAAAGGCAGAAAGCAGTGAGTTGTACCACATATTCTGAAGGATACGAAAGGGTTTTAATTGCCACCTAATTTGTCTTGTTTGAACTTAGAAAGGGATGCTAATTTATTTTTGTCTGATGAACAAACATTTGGCACCAAATCAGTCATCGTTCTGCTTTTGAAGCGAGTAGCTTCAGGGCTGCTAGTACCTCTAACATGCACATGCAGCACGGTGTGGATGGGAAGTTCAACAGGAAGGTTGCAGGCTCCATCTCAGCTATTCCTAATTATTGTTCCAACTTAAATATCACTTTGGTACAATCTTCTGAAAAAACAAAACTTAGGAGTAAGTTGGAAATTAAGACCTTAGGCAGAATATTTCAACCTTGCACACATGCTTAAGAGTAAACACTCAATTCTGAAAACTGGTGCTAGGATCTGAAATCAT